CTTGAAAACCGTCGAAATCAAGAATGACACCCCATGTGTGTTCTTATTCACATGGTCCGGCTGTCGACAAAACAACCATACAGGGCCCAGTTCCACGAAACGATCTTGAGGTAAAATGATTGTAACACACATACCTCAGCATCGACTTATGATCATCATAGCTATTACGATCACATTGTGCAATGGGGCCCCCGATGTTTATCGTTTACATGTTTTCAACTTCAAGGGATGACTGCATGTATGGACGAGGGGATCGGAAACATCACTGCAGCTCTCAGTGCTACTTGGCCAGCTGGAGAATACCCTCATTGTCTTCCACAGGTAAGTAAATTCTGAGGTACTGGTAAGTTTATATTCAAACTTGGAATTTCTACTGTAATCTACGTCAGGACTTGGACTGAATGTGACCTCTGAATAGGTCTAGCTAAATTTCCCTCAAGTCTCATAAAACTTCTCTTCCATTCTGACTTAAGTAGGTCAGATTTAAGTAGGTCAGTAAGATTAGCTAGAAAAAAGATTTTCACGGGCTATGGTTAAAGGTCACATGCAACCAAAAAATCAAACATAATTAAAAACACAATTATCACTTATTCATGACATATAATATGCATTGCTGATTATGAAAAACATATAAACAAAATTATAAGCGTACAATCGCGAATCAAAAGTGCAATGTTTTGTACTTGCGTTTACTTCCCAAGAAACGAAGCAGCCGGGATACCGAACCCAGTCAGAGCGGGTGGGTGTGCACTCAAGTGTAACGGCTGGTTCATTTGCAGATGCCCTCACAGCTCATTGTGTGTGTATATATAGAGATGTTGGGTTTTGTAAATACAAGCTCATTTTTGTGTATAACATTTTGCAATCAACAGACATCATAGCATGTCAGGTGTACAAGTATCACACCTGCCTGTCTGTGTAATTACATAATGTGACAGAGACCGAACTCGGGTCATAAATCAATACGTTTTATTTATGGTGTATAGCCAGATAGGTGTTAAGTTCAAATTGCATGTGGTCAGTGATCGAAGTGATCGAAGCAGACAGGCAGGCAGACACATAGGTGTCAATAAAACAGACATTGAGTTTTGTCTGTGACAACGACATATCTATATCACAGTTAGAAATTCTGTCAACGCTAAATAATGACATTGCTTTTAAGTATCGAACTGAGAAAGTGACTCGGTAAGAAGAACGTGTGGTGAAATAGACAAATGAAATTATATAAACAGTTAAATCGGTAATCTACTGGCATAACATATAAAAGCTCGCCTGTGAAATATCAACAAAATATTAGAAAAATAGCTCACACCAAAGCCTTCACCGAGTATTCACCGCCAGCGAAGGTTTTCCGTCTTGAAATGTCGAACGCCTCACTGTATGACACATAGCTGAGTAGATCTAGATCCTAACAAGGTTCTTTTATGTAATGAGCAGATCATTTACTATTTGTTTTGATTAGACTACTCCTGTTCACGACCTTATAATCCGGATAACCCGCTTCCAAGCTGCGCGAACTCTATTTCACTGCGCAAGTGCTATGAGCGCAGCCCAGCTGTTAAAACCACTTTTTCCCCAATCGCTGGGGAAAATTAGTGATTCGTTTGAACTCCGATTTCGCGCGGTTTGAATTTGCATTTTGATGATTTGTCCAAACCGAAAGGTATCAGAATCTGCAAAGTTGTGTTTTACGTTGCATGTGACCTTTAAGTTTGACTTTTGTTTGTTGCTTAATACTGCCCTCCACAATATTCCAGCTGTATGGTAGCGGTCTGTAAATAATCGAGTCAGAACAATCTAGAACCAGACAATCTAGTGATCAACACTATGAGCATCGATCTCATACAATGGGATACAATGACATGTGACAACGAAGTTAGAGAGCCTAAACCCCCTTTCCCCCCACACACCTCGATCATCACGTTAGTTTTATGACAAGCATAGGTTGTTTGCAGGGTTTATTTAAGCTTGAAGACTAGAAGTTTTGTATTTGAGAATGTTGTAGAATTATGCGAGTCTACTAATTATTCATGACTGTCCTGACAAAGTACTCGTGTTTCAGACAATGGCGGTCAGATCCACGCAGGGGGAAACAACTGGCCACTAAGGGGGTGGAAGGCGTCGTTATGGGAAGGGGGATTCCATGGTGTGGGTTTTGTGTATGGTGATATGCTGAAGAACAAAGGAACTGTCAATAATCAACTGATCCATGTCTCTGATTGGTTCCCAACATTGGTGGGTGTGGCTGGCGGGAACACCAATGGAACAAAGCCTCTGGATGGATTTGACCAATGGAAGACCATCAGGTATGCTAGTATTGATGTAGAGTTTGAAAATTATGCGAAATATGCATATTGCCGGGAAGCACATGCAAACTATCCAAATCATCATCATCATCATCATCATCATCAACAACAACAATAGCAGAGAAAATATAGCGTAGAGCTAGTCTATCTCCCAAAGCCTTGAGAATAAATTAAATACAAGACCTGCTCAAGGCTAGGATCAATTGGCAAGTCCAAATTGCCTCACAGACCCTGAAAATACGGATTGTTCTAGGCCCAATTAGATTTGTTTTGAAGATAACATATTTCTTAATCTTAATATTGTCATTCAAGCAAGGGACCTATGGCTGTTTGAAAGTTGAGACGTGCTGAGTGTTTGTGTGTTGTTTGATGGTTTAACTTGTTCAAATGATTTAAATTTCTGTGTTGAATTTAGACATGTTAGGGTAAATTTCCCATCTATGAAGTATGAATTTGAAACCTTTTGCTTACAATTTATATGCTTGGAAAAAGGAGGTCTCTTCAGTAGTATATGTCACAATGACAGCAATGTTTACTTGCTTACACAAGAAGGGAAAGTCTTACATCAATTTGCCATTGTTCCAGTGAAGGTGGAGCCAGTCCGAGGAAGGAGCTCCTACACAACATTGACATCTTGACACAACCCAAGGGAGCTAAGCTTTTAACAACAACACCTTCGACACGCGGATCAGAGCAGCTATACGAGTCGGAGACTGGAAGCTCATCACAGGAAGTCCAGGTTTGTGGACACTCACTGCTTAATACTGTAGGGTGGTAGGCGAGCCTAGTGTTCGCTCATCACGCCAAAGATCCAGGTTCGATTCCCCACATAATCACAATGTGTGAAGTCCATTTCTACTGTCTCCTGCTGTGATATTACTGGAATACTGCTGAAAGCGGCGTAAAACTAAACTCACTCAATTAATACTGTAGCTGGTGACAGGTGTCAGACTACGGATACACAATGCCATTTAGAAAGTGGTCAAATGTAACATTTGTTTTACTTGGTATTACAGTTTTCTCAATAAAGTACAGATTTTAGTACTTGTTTTGTTTGACACTTGACAAAGGGGTACACATGATTTTAGTCAAGGTGCTGTAGTAATTTAATGCTCTTTGTGAGGTAGGACACGTTTTATTACAATCTTGATTAATGAACATACTGTTTTGTGCAGTGCCACCATTTTATTTACTTTGGTAAGTAATATGAAGAAAGGAACTGATTGGCCAAGAGGGATATGGTTAGGCTATGGTTGAGGTGTGAAATTCCAGGCTAGTTTGACAAGGGTGGACGTTTGTAGACAGTTACCTCCCCTTACCTCAGGAAGACAGTTCCAGCGCTTTAAAACTGATGAAATAAAAGTTTATGTATGACTTCTGTGATGAAATGTTCCTGTACTTAAGATAATAACTAACAAAGGATCAATATAAGCATTTATACTCTTAACAAGTAACATCAATGTAAAGTATGCCAGTAGAGTGATCTCCCTTGGCTCCTGTGTAATGGCTACCATGCTCGTAGATCGAATAAAGGACCTTTACACAGAAGTCCTTGTTTTATTAGTCACACAGTCTTCTTCCACCCTCAGGAAACGGTAGCTGGATTCCGCCGCCACATCTCAGCAAGGAGACGGTTGTGGACACGGATGATAAGGAGAAGAACCTATGGCTGTTTGACATCGCAAAGGACCCAAATGAACACAATGACTTGTCAGCATCACAACCAGACATTGTTAAGAAGCTTCTGGACCGACTAGAGTACTACCAGAAAACAGCAGTACCCCCCAGGTACCCTGATCCTGACCCCAAGTGTGACCCCAAACTACATGGAGGAGTGTGGGGGCCGTGAGTAAAACATAACTAACTCTACAGTCATTGTTTTACGTAGAACAGGTTGTCTCTGAATTGTGTTAACATCCCAGTGTAAAATGTTTTTGATTAACTAATAAACATAAAATGCTCAGTGAAACGCTGATCAAAACATCAGACCAACTCTGTGATGTTTTGCAGAATTTACTCTTTTACTTTTTTAGAACAAACTCTCATTGAAATATTGACGCAGTTCACTATTTGTTACGAGGGAGGAGTGCAGAGAAAGGGACAGCCAGGCGTTCAGACAATGCTGTAGACATATTTCACTTCTCCCTAGTCAATAGATAGGATTGTTGAAGTCAATCAATAATGCTTGTTTTATTAACCTACACGAGTTTATGATATATCGTATTTGAAATGGATTGTTACCATAAAAATCTGTTGTTGGATAGTCTCAGTGAGTGAGTGAGTGAGTGTTGTTTTACGCGGCTTTTAGCAATATTCCAGGAATAATCACGGTGGGGGGACACCAGAAATAGGCTTCACACATTGTGCCCATGTGCGGAATTGAACCTAAATCTTCGGCGTGACGAGTAAACGCATTAACCAACAAGCTACCCCACCACGTGGATAGTCTCAGACATGATAATTCATGAAGTCATCTTTCTGGTGATAGCACAAATCTGTTATTCAGGGGCTGATAAAATATCTTGTCATTAGTTATCAACAGTATTTATGTGGACCATACTTTAATCATATTTTACTTACGGTAATGCTCTCTAGTCATTAGTGTCACAAAACTAGATGCAATGGTGATACAACTAATAATGCATGTGTATAATGTCTATGGATTAAATTATTCTTTATTTGGGTTATAAACCAAATAATCATACCTTTATACCTAGGATGACCATTGTTCATTTTTTGATATATTTGAAATTGTACCTACAGCATGTGTTTTGTTACATTAAATTGATAATAATTGTAGTACTTCAACAATGGTTCTAGTCAAGTTAGAGTTGTCTCCCTCTCTCTGTCTTTTGTGGGTGTTCATTTAATTTACCGCTGAGCTATCTCCCTTTGTACACCGTAAAACGAAACGAGTTATTACCGCTTCCAATATGCAAGGTCTAATCAACGTTTTTCCTTATGCGTTCATGGCCCCACCATAATTTTTTACCACACTCTCTACAAACAATTCCTGGTACATTGCAAACTTTACTGTAAACAAACTGTCAACATTTATGGATTAAAAGATTGGAAGCTTCGAGTTTGTTTTGAACTGTTGGAACTGTTTCCTGGTGATACTACCTGTCCTCGAACAGAACAGCGTGACCTATATCAATGTTTTGATATATTTGAAACTGTACATGACAGTGCATCAACAGAAATGTCAAGATGTATATCTACCTTCTTATAATTTGTTTTTAAGAAGCCATGGTGCAGGTTTAAGCAGTGCTGTGATGTGCCTTACTTAGATTTAAGTGCTGACACAAAGTTACTTTCTTTACAGTGCCAAAATGATCTAATCTTGAGCATTTTACTGCTACATGTACAACCACTAAATGTGGCATGTTCAATGTATTGACAATAAATAACTACTGATAATTACTACGGAGTTGAAATGTATTGCATAGATTGCTACTCATTATATTATGAGTCAAATTTCAAAATTTCAAAAAAGAAATGTGCCAAAAGAAATATCCTCATAAAAGAACAATGTTGCACATTGATTCCATTGTAAATGTATATCAGCTGGTAATGTGTTATGACAGGTATACTTCCTGTCTGACCGTGTGTTACTGTGTATATTTCCTGGTGCATGTATATTACACACGTATAATTCATAGCTGATGTGTAGACAGCTGTGTATCAATATATACTATCATGAGCATCCTCAGCCAACAGTCTGCTAGTCACATACCCTTATATGGGCATGCATTTGTACTCTTTGTGTAAATAAATATAAAAAAGACAATAAATATGACCAAACCAAGTTGGTGTTCATTTCAATTTGCAAGACAAGTATTGTTTTGTTCTGCAGCCATCAGTTGTAATTCTAAGATTTTTGTTGTTTAACACCATACTCAGTAATAGTTAGATGGCTGAAGTCTTTAAATGATCAACTCTGGAACAGACATTCCAGTGATCAACACCATGAGCATAGATCTATGCAACTGGGATACAGTGACTTGTGTCAAGCACATCATTGGGCTATGCAACTGGGATATGGTGACTTGTGTCAAGCACATCATTGGGCTATGCAACTGGGATACGGTGACTTGTGTCAAGCACATCAGCGAACCTGACCAATCCTGTTAGTTGACTCTTACGACAAGCATTGGGCTGCTGAAGTCGACTTCAAACCTGGATCTGCGCGGGTTGTAATTCTAAGAGAGAATGAGGTTACGACGACACCAGAACCATGGGTTTCACACACACTACCCATGTTGGGCATCGAACATGGTTTTTGGAGTGACGAGTGGACGCTTTAACCACTCGGCTACCCAGCCGCCCCTGTAATTCTAAGAGGATGGAGGAACCTTCAAATGGCATTTAGAAGTGATAAAGGAGAAAGATAATACCCTGAAACATTGTCTTCCTTATATAAAAGAAGTCGATACCACAAATTCTCTCCTTAAAGATTATGCACTGGTACAATACTGACAATATGGATAACAGCTTCTTTTATTTCGAGGGTGTGACTTAATGTCTGCTTGACAATGGTACAAGAATCTGTATCGAAATGTGGCACTCGTGAAATAAATTCCTGTTTGACAATGGTACAAGAATCTGTATCGAAACGTGGCACTCGTGAAATAAATTCGTGTTTGACAATGGTACAAGAATCTGTATCGAAATGTGGCAATCGTGAAATAAATTCCTATTTGACAGTGGTAACCCCTAGTGTACAGTACACAACCCTGTGCACTTAAAAGAACCCACGAATCCGTTGGTATATGTCCAGATGGTGGCCACATGAATACGTGCAAACACCTAGTTGCGGGTACAGCAACGTGCAGTGAAGTTGGACAAAGTGCCGTGACTATGTGTCCCAGTCCACCCAGCTGTGAATGGGTACCGCGTTAGGATGAGAAAGCCACAATAACTCGGTGCGCCTAGTGGCAGCAAGAGTTGTATACTCCCCAGGGAGTTGAGATTGCTAATACGATGTGCAGTTGATATTGACATCCAATGATCGCGGGAAAATGTACCAGCGCCTTGAGCATGCACTAGTGCGTGGATATGTGCGCTATATAAATATCCTATAATAATAATACAAGAATCTGTATCGAAATGTGGCACTCATGAAATAAATTCCTCTTTGATAATGGTACAAGAATCTGTATCGAAATGTGGCACTCGTGAAATAAATTCCTGTTTGACAATGGTACAAGAATCTGTATCGAAATTTCGGCACTCGTGAAATACATTCCTGTTTGACAATGGTACAAGAATCTGTATCGAAATGTGGCACTCATGAAATAAATTCCTGCTTGACAATGGGCCTTACAAAAACAGCATGACCTATATCTATTTTTATAGAAATGTACTCAAACTTGTACATGACAGTGGATCAACAGATATGTCAAGATGTATATCGATTTGTTTATAATTCTTTTTAAGAAGCCTAGGTGCATGTTTAAGCAGTGCTGTGATGTGCCTTACTTAGATTTAAGTGCTGACACAAAGTTACATTCTTTACAGTGCCAAAATGATCTAATCTTGAGCATTTTACTGCTACATGTACAACCACTAAATATGGCATGTTCAATGTATTGACAATAAATAACTACTGATAATTACTACGGAGTGAAATGTATTGCATAGATTGCTACTCATTATATTATGAGTCAAATTTCCCTTGGGTAATGTTACCAAATAAAAAAGAAATGTGCCAAAAGAAATATCCTCATAAAAGAACAATGTTGCACATTGATTCCATTGTACATGTATATCAGCTGGTAATGTGTTATGACAGGTATACTTCCTGTCTGACCGTGTGTTACTGTGTATATTTCCTGGTGCATGTATATTACACATGTATAATTCATAGCTGATGTGTAGACAGCTGTGTATCATGAGCATCCTCAGCCAACAGTCTGCTAGTCACATACCCTTATATGGGCATGCATTTGTACTCTTTGTGTAAATAAATATAAAAAAGACAATAAATATGACCAAACCAAGATGGTGTTCATTTCAATTTGCAAGACAAGTATTGTTTGTTCTGCATCCATCAGTTGTAATTCTAAGATTTTTGTTGACACAAAGTAAATGCTGACACATAGTTATTTTACTTACAGTGCCAAAACGATCTAATCTTGAGCATTTTACTGAAACTTGTACAACCACTACAAATGACATGTTCAATGTATTGACAATACATATGACTAAACCAATTTGGTGTTCATGTCAATTTACAGGACAAGCGTGACATTTGATGACTCCACAATAGATTGTTATGGCCCGCCGCGCGTTTAGCGCGAAGAGCGGGTTATAATATTTGGCTCCCTCCGTACATACGTGCGTACGTTCGAATTGGAATATCTTAAGAACCTTTGACTAGGTTCTTTTCTTATGTGATACCTAGTATAGGCTCATCACAGTATGAGGAAGGTCTCAATCAGTTTTGGTGACCTTGACCTTCATTTCACCCTTAACGTTTTACCCATGTCAGCAAGATACCTAAAGAACTGGATTTTCTTCAAATATCTAACGGACACCAGGCATTATCTAGGGAAGGTAGATAAATACCGCTCGACAAATACCCGGATTGAGGAGGCTTTCTGCACAGACCGTCAGGAACAGGTTGAGAGAGGCTGGTTTACGTGCCAGAAGACCTTATTTTGGCCCTGTGCTTCGACAACAACATCGTCGACATCGAGTTAAATGGTGCACCAACGTTTAGGCCTGGAACCTACCGAATTGGCGTAGAACCTGGTTCAGTGATGAATCATGATTTCTATTGGAATGCGGGTGTACAGACTTCGACGTGAACGTTTCGCCGACGCTTGCGTTCCCCAGGTGGACAGATTCGGCTGGGGCAGTGCTATGATGTGGGGGGCGATCACCTGCCGTAGGAGAAGTGATTTGGTGATGATCCAGGGCAACCTGACAGCTCAACGGTACTGTGACGAAATCCTACGCCCACACCTCCTTCCAATCATTGATCGCCAGAGGGAGTTGTTTCAACAGGACAATGCCAGGCCCCACACAGCACGTCACACTAGAGACTTCCTCCAGAACCACAACATCAATGTGCTCCCCTGGCCCTCAAGATCACCGGACTTAAACCCGATCGAACATCTGTGAGATGCCCTGGACAGACGGGTGCGACGCCGTAACCCTCAGCCCCAGACACTCTTGGCGCAGATCAGGAGTGTGCCCGGGTGCTCCACAGCCCTTCTGACACTGAGCCTTACCAGCCGGCCTGTGCCAGGATCACCCAAACCCTCTCTGCTGCATTTTCATCTTAATCTGTAAAAATAATAATAATAATAATAATTCATTTATATAGCGCCTAGTATCTATCTGATTATAGTTGCTTACTGGACGCTGTAATCTGAATCTGATTATTATTACCCCGGATAACCCAATTAAAGACACAATACTTTTCTCCAACTGGGTACCCATTTTCTGATGGGTGAACAGAGGCAATTTTGAAGAAACTCACTTGCCTAAGGTGAGACTACATGTATCACAAATATCACGGCTTCGCATATTGTGGAATCGAACCCGGCCTTTGGCGTGACGAGCTTTAACTCCAGTCATCAGGAAGTTTCACATTAGTCAGTTCACTAAACATGTCGCGAAAACCCATTATATTACAGTGTAATATTGGCAAACAATGCATGTTGCAAAATGTGTACACATTATTTCTTGCAACAGTCTTGAGGTCATGTTTACAACATGCCTGCATTCGATAAGTAAATACAGATATGAAGAAAGTTAGTTATGCGAGTTAGAAACGATACAATGTTGATAATCATGACAAAGCGTTCTCGCGACACTGTTATCATGACAATCAAGCGACATGAGAAGAGTCAGTGAGCGTACAAGCATCTATGTGTCCGTCAATGATATGAGATAACTTGAATGTAATGTGCAAGTGTCAACATAGAGGCGGTCAGGTGACAAGGGCGGAATAACCAGGCTTGCATCACACTACAATCTGGCGGATAAGGGATATCAATGCACTTTTAATATCATGTTTGGATGTCAGCCTGGGGAAATTGAAATTATGTGCTCCAGTTCATAGCCTGCTTATGTCTTTCAAATAAGGTGAAAATTCATTTACTTGCAAATAAATGCGACAAACCCCATTCCACTTTCCAAATTATTATTGTTATATATGGGTATTCATATAGCGCTATAGTCCATCCAATGTGCATGCTCAAAGCGATTATACAATTGGGACTATATCATGAGCACATATTTGTTTCAGCAGTATTACACCTGTACGATATTGTTTGTAAATAAAACGAGTCTGGACCAGACAATTCAGTGATTGTCACCATGCGATACAATGACAGAGCATGTGTTTATGAATCACTATGAAATATAGGTGTTCGCGAAAAGGTAAGCATATCCTGCCCCACCGGTGGCACCCGTCATAAACATATACAAAGTCTAGTAAATTGTTCACCTGAAATAATTTGGTACAAGCCAAATAGGGAATTGCACCGGACATCATTTTTGTCACTGATGCATCAAATTTCGAAATGTCCAACACATAAAACTTTTGAAAGAGATACCTTTTAACGCTTTGGTGTTACGGCAAACAATAAACATGTTTCTGTGTGGCGTTTTTTATATACTACATATCACCCTTTGACTGCTTCGTCAGCTGCCTGACCTATATTGAGGCTTGGGATGATATCGGCCTAAGGTCGCATCAAGGATTTACTTATCTGACTGAACTCATGGTCATAAACTAGCTAGCAACACATCTCACCAGCTCACTGGATTCAAGGACATGGACTAACTAATAAACTGGCATCTTTTTGCACTGATATACGTATTATTAAATATGCTGCATCAATTATAAACGTATATCCCTGTTTAAAATGTGCTCGTCGAACACCAGTATAAATTCAGGGGCAAAAGAAACACCATCAAAAGTAATTATGTGTTCATTCAATATTACATCGTCATAACCCCATACAGTAGCAAGCAACAAATCTTACGAGCGCAAAAAGCATAACGACTGAGAAAAGCATGTGTTTCATGAATTATTGAATAAACCGAATTGTACTTCATCACCTGCCCTGGTGCCTCTGTGAACCTGTACTTCATCGCCTGCCCCGGTGGCTCAGTGAACCTGTACTTCATCATCTATACCAATGGCTGAGTTAACCTGTACTTCATCACCTGTCCCAGTGGCTTAGTGAACCTGTACTTCATCATCTATACCAATAGCTCAGTGAACCTGTACTTCATCACCTCCCCTGGTGCCTCAGTGAACCTGTACTTCATCACCTGTCCCAGTGGCTCAGTGAACCTGTACTTCATCACCTCCCCAGTGGCTCAGTGAACCTGTACTTCATCACCTCCCCGGTGGCTCAGTGAACCTGTACTTCATCACCTGCCCCGGTGGCTCAGTGATCCTGTATTTCATCACCTGCCCCGGTGGCTCAGTGAACCTGTACTTCATCACCTGTCCCAGTGGCTCAGTGAACCTGTACTTCATCACCTGCCCCGGTGGCTCAGTGAACCTGTACTTCATCACTCTGCCCTGGTGCCTCAGTGAACCTGTACTTCATCGCCTGCCCCGGTGGCTCAGTGAACCTGTACTTCATCATCTATACCAATGGCTGAGTTAACCTGTACTTCATCACCTGTCCCAGTGGCTTAGTGAACCTGTACTTCATCATCTATACCAATAGCTCAGTGAACCT